AAAAATGGTATCCATTGAGCCTACTGAAAACTTAGAGGCTGGAACGGAGCTTTCCCACAGTGAGCGTGCAAAAGTACCAAATTGTCTGCCGTCTCGACCAGTTTGCAGCTAAATAGCTACCCTATCGCTACCAGAAAAGTACATACCGTATTTGAGATCTCCTACTTCAGAGTGATCTCTTAATTCAGACTGCCCTCCAACCAATCACATATCGAGAATAGAACAGCGCACAAGTCTAGATCTCCTAATTCAGAGTACAAAAAACATGCTAACCTGTAAAATACCACCAGCTCATTGCAAGAAATTTTCGGGACATTGGCGCCTTGACGTCCATATTTTCGCTCGGCTATTGAACGTGGAACTGATGGCTATACCCGCTGGCTACACGTTTGCGTGCCAGCCGGCTGATATTTCGTGGAACAAGCCATTAAAAGACAAAATGCGGAAAAATTGGGTGGAGAACATGTTGAAACAACTACGCGCTTCAACTTCGACGCTTCCGTTTAAGATAAAAGCACCTACACGGCAGCAATTAATAGGTTGGACGAAGAATTCGTGGAATGCGTTGTCTCGCAAAACGGTTAGAAGCGGATTTGAGAAAGCAAAAATGGTATCCATTGAGCCTACTGAAAACTTAGAGGCTGGAACGGAGCTTTCCCACAGTGAGCGTGCAAAAGTACCAAATTGTCTGCCGTCTCGACCAGTTTGCAGCTAAATAGCTACCCTATCGCTACCAGAAAAGTACATACCGTATTTGAGATCTCCTACTTCAGAGTGATCTCCTAATTCAGACTGCCCTCCAACCAATCACATATCGAGAATAGAACAGCGCACAAGTCTAGACCTCCTAATTCAGAGTACAAAAACATGCTAACCTGTAGCTATCCACCAGCTCATTGCAAGAAATTTTCGGGACATTGGCGCCTTGACGTCCATATTTTCGCTCGGCTATTGAACGTGGAACTGATGGCTATACCCGCTGGCTACACGTTTGCGTGCCAGCCGGCTGATATTTCGTGGAACAAGCCATTAAAGACAAAATGCGGAAAAATTGGGTGGAGAACATGTTGAAACAACTACGCGCTTCAACTTCGACGCTTCCGTTTAAGATAAAAGCACCTACACGGCAGCAATTAATAGGTTGGACGAAGAATTCGTGGAATGCGTTGTCTCGCAAAACGGTTAGAAGCGGATTTGAGAAAGCAAAAATGGTATCCATTGAGCCTACTGAAAACTTAGAGGCTGGAACGGAGCTTTCCCACAGTGAGCGTGCAAAAGTACCAAATTGTCTGCCGTCTCGACCAGTTTGCAGCTAAATAGCTACCCTATCGCTACCAGAAAAGTACATACCGTATTTAAGATCTCCTACTTCAGAGTGATCTCCTAATTCAGACTGCCCTCCAACCAATCACATATCGAGAATAGAACAGCGCACAAGTCTAGATCTCCTAATTCAGAGTACAAAAAACATGCTAACCTGTAACTATCCACCAGCTCATTGCAAGAAATTTTCGGGACATTGGCGCCTTGACGTCCATATTTTCGCTCGGCTATTGAACGTGGAACTGATGGCTATACCCGCTGGCTACACGTTTGCGTGCCAGCCGGCTGATATTTCGTGGAACAAGCCATTAAAAGACAAAATGCGGAAAAATTGGGTGGAGAACATGTTGAAACAACTACGCGCTTCAACTTCGACGCTTCCGTTTAAGATAAAAGCACCTACACGGCAGCAATTAATAGGTTGGCTCGATTTCCCAGTTATGCATCTAAACAACAGCAAACATATCCAGCTCACCGTGTTCGTGTTTATGACAGCGTAATTGTCCTGATTTGAATGGAAAGTTTACAAAAATATATGTAAACAGTTTTCGAGGATCTCAAAACGCAGTTCGAATAATTTGCGGTGTCCAGTAGAAAAGGTACCATCTGGGAAAGATGCTCCGTTGAATGCGTTAATCGGAGATCGACCATTCCTGATTCGGCCAAGCATTGATCAAGCTGTCAGTGTTATAATGGACAATGTGAAAGTTGGGTCTACTTGCTTGTGCGGCGTGTGGTTTACCACTCTTGATGTGCTCGCCGAGCACCAAAGCACTTGCGACCACGTCAAAGTCGAGGACTGGGAACGCACTCTCCAGGCCATAACGTCGCCCGGCTCCGAGTGTTTTCCTTGCTGTCGCCTACTCTCGCTGGACGACGTGCTTTTCAACGGTCAGATGCTCGTTTATCGCACTTATGAGGAAAGTGTCTGCTGCTCTGGCTGTCGCGATGCATGGTACCCTTACGAAGGCAAAGCCATGCTGCAGCGTCAAGACGTGGACAGATATCTCTATCTGAGACGCACAACTATCCCGCATCCGCGGCTGAAGCAATACCGAGCTCATCTTTTCAAAGAACTACAAGAATATCTCCATCATCCGATTCGAGTTCAGAAATGGCTCGACAGCGGACACGAACTCGAGGGCTACCTGGAGTAAATGTCGTTGCGCCAGAGTGTCGAGTATTATCACACGAGAGAGCTCGAATAAATGTATTTAAACCGTAGAAGGTGCTTTATGGTAAACAGGTTTTGGTT